CCTGCTGCATTCACCTCACCTTCTGCAGCCAAACGTGACCCTGGGGATGCTCAGAGCATGGCAGGTCTGACCCCCACTGCTCCAGCTCTCTGAGATGCCGTTACTGCAGTAAAGCAATTAATGGTTTCTGCAAAATGAACACGGGGACTCAGGTCTGCTCACTCCTTTCTGTGGTCATCCTCTGACGCAGACTCTGAGAGAACAGGTAGCATCTGGGATGCAGGGAGGAGCTGGGGGGTGTAAGGGCATGATGCAGGGAAGGAGCCTCTTTGGGAGGTGGAGTGAGGATGTGGGCAGGCAGTGCGGAAGAAGGGTTGTGAAAATCAGCCCTAGGCTGTGTCATTCCCACTCTGTTGGTACCTGAGATGCTCCCCCTCACCTCCTCCCTCAGTCCAAGTGCTGATCTGGGCAGCAGCATCTGTGAGGGCTGTCCTGTTGGAAGGCACTGAACCCCAGGGGAGCCCCTGCCCATTGGTTTTGTATCAGCTCAAAGCAGCAGCTGTAATTTGGATGGTGTTTCTGTCCCCTGGGCTGCCTTGGACAAGCTTGGTCCTGTCCCTGCCACCAAGGTCCCTGGCTGGTTCCAGACCTGCAGTACCAGGCACTGTTTGGACTCGGAGCCACATGCCCAGAGGGCTACAGGAGGGGACCTGCTGTCATGTCAGCATGCTGTCTAGCCTCTGTCTGCATCCCTTTAAAGCACAGCTATGCCCATGCCTTCAAGCACTGTAAGACCTGCTGAAAACCTTCCAGTTTTCCCTGAAAACCCCTTCCCTTCCTTTTTCCTCTCCATTTTCCCCAGGACCATTTCAGCATTGACCCCATCTTCTTCTCCTGCAAATCCCACCCCCAGCCCCTGTCTCAACCACAACCTCTCCCAGCTCATTCCCAGCACCCTGCCTGCTTTCCCCCAGGAGATCTGAATATGAATAACCCCTCAGCTGAGGAATGTGATGGACACCAGCACCATGCCAGCTCCCTCTGCTCATGCCAAGCCAATGCTTTTGAGGCCGTGATGAAGCGTGCAGCCCCCCAGCCCATGCCCGGGGAAAATAGCTGCCTGCTCAGGGACCCACGGGGGGCCTGGAGGTGTTGCAGTGCTGTCCCTGGCTTGTGTGGCCTCAGAAAGGTGAGACTGTCCTCTGGCTGCATCCCCATCTCCTGGAGACCCTCGGGATGCACGGGCCAGGGAGGGTCTGGGGCTGAAAGGGAAATTTCCCAGGGCTGAACAAGCAGGCGGAAACTCGCTCACACCAGGGAAAGCCAACATGGAAATGGCAACTCAGCATGCCTTGACATTGCCTCCAGATATTTTCCATCCTCTCATACATGCTGGAGCTGGCCAGAAAAGAGAGAGACTTTCCGATGACAAATTTTGAGAATTTGGAGAAAAAACATGTGCCCCGCATTGGGACAAAAACCCAGTTGAATTTTATTTTTTTGTGTGTGTGAAACAGCGTTCTGAAAAAAAAAAAAAAAAGGAAAACAAGTAATTTGGGATCCATCTGGTTTCAATCCCTTTGAAATATACTGTGGTGCTTTAGAATCTCTTCTAAATCCGAAAGATTGTTTTGAAATGAAATACTGTTTCAGACTGAAAAACGGGAGCACCATCACCAAAGGCAAAGGAAAATGCCATTTCGGACCCAACATGCAGTCTTGGCTGCACAAGCGTACGGCACGCAGCCTGTTCTGCATAAACTGCTTTTTCTGAAGGAAACCTGTGGGAAGGGGCAATTTCCAGCCATCTCCTCTGTGCGGGGCTGGTGGCTGTCACCTCTCCAGGGACACACGAGCCACCGTGTGAGCTCCCATCCCTCTCCTCCAGCCCCAGCCGGTGCAGGACCTGCAGCACAGTGTCACCAAAGTACGGGAAAACCTCCCCTGTGCCCCGTGTCTTGGCCCGAGGATGCTCCTGCCATGGGGCCAGCCCCAACACTGCCCCCAAAATCCCTGGATGCAGCCCTGGAGCAGCAGGATGAGGCCCGGGAGAGCCGTACTCTCCTTGCCGAAGGTATCCATGGCCCCTTATCTGTGATGGGTCCCATGCCCCGAGCCACGGGGAGCAGAGACAGCCCTCTAGCAGTAAACTAAACAGAAAGGTCATCATCCTTGGTTAATATTTGCTGCTTCTGCTGAGGACTGTATACTTTTTCGTAGATCATTTACATCCAGCGAGCAGGCTGGTAATTAAATCCTGGTTGTTTGTTTGGAGTTTCTCCCTCTCGGGTCATGATGTCGACGTTTTCACTAGAGAAGATGTGTCCCTGAGGGAAATATCAATTGCCGCAGAGAAATTCCCTATAAAAATACGCTGAAAGAATCCTCCTTTGAAAAATAAAATATAGCGACACTCTCGTGCCTTAAATTTGCCCTTGCCACTGCCTCCTGCCGTCTTCCCTGTTTCTGCTTGCGTCCTCATTCCCTCGTTAACATTTCTGCCTCTCTGGATGGAGGCAAATGGGGGACCCTCCCCAGCTGTCCTCCTGCATTTTGGCTCGGGCTGCGGCTAAGAGAAGTGGTGAACCAAGCCGTGTGATCCCCCTCTGCCCCATATTGATTTCCCCCTCTGGGGCAGAAGACAGCAAAGAAACGCTGCCCCAGGACATGGGCTGCTGGGGATGCCGGAGCAGCGATGCTCCGGAGATGCCTCCTGCAGCGGGTGGGTTAACGAAACCCTACGAACACCAAGGGAAATTTGGCCCGGCAGTTCAGTGTCTGCCGCCGGAGAGGAGCAGGCAGCTCGCAATACGGAAACGCAGCCGCCACCTCCCCCTCCTCCGGCCCTCCAGGAATGCACTAATTGGACTGATGAAGGCCAAACATACCACTTGTAATATATATAAATGGCTCATTAGGCAGAGAAATCGCAGCGCTGGGCTGAAGACACTGGGAACATGACATGGGGAGGAGACGCTCAGAGACAGGGAAGGGCATGAAACAGACCCTGCCGAGACGACTTGCAGTTAGAGTGCACGCAAGAAGGCAACACCCAGATGAACGGGGGCTTTTTGCAAAATGACTGATGCTGCTGCCGACTGTTGGAAATGAAGCAGGGATGGCACAGCCCCAACAGGAGCCTCCATCTAGGTCTCCTGCAGATCCTCTCCCCAACATTCAGGCATCCTCTCCCTGATACACATTTAGGGTCCTTTTGTGTGCAAACGTGCACCTGAGTTTCCACAGGAACAGCAGCTGTGCCGTGCAGTGGGGTAAAAGGGAGGATGGCTGGTTTCCCCTGCTGTGGACTCGGCTCCTGACCTGTCCTGCGGGTTGCTGTGCCCACATGCCCTATTTCTGGGACAGGCCTGTCCCCTGGGGGGGCTGGGGTTGCAAGGAGAGCCCAGGCGGGATGCTGGGGTGCTGATGGAGCTGCTGGCTTGCTACCATGCCTGATCCTCCTCCTTCCCCTGCACAAGGGGTGACTGTGGTCCCCAGCATGGCCAGGGGGTGGCCGGTGCCACCAGACTCCTCTGTGCAGAGCACGCAGAATGGGAAAGGTGAGCAGCAAAGCGCTGGGCCCTCCCCTCCTCCCAGCTGCCTCCTGGGATTTGAAGTGCTCCTCTTGGGACCCCACACCGCTGGGGCATGGCTGAGGCTGGCTAACAGCACCAACAAAGGATGGTCTTCTTCTGCCCCGCCCCCC